CAGGATCTAAATCAAAGCACCAGTCTAAAGAAGAGAGGTCATTGCTGCCACTTGTTATAGAATTTTGGATTTCAAATATTAATTTCACCAGTTTTGGGAATGGTGTATTTTGATGTTTAATGGGAGAAGATTTATACTAAATTAGGAAGCAGAGACTCCTACTTTGTGTAGATGCTTTGGAACAGTAACTCCCAGAATTAGTCATGCATTCGTAAAGCACTTGAAAGAAGCCAAACTGAGAAAAAAGTGCTTTAGCCAGAATGTATATATTCCTGTTTATTTGGGCATTTGACTTACTGCTCCATTCCTTAGCTCTCCTGATTACATTGTCACAAGATTCAATTAACGAATGCAGAGACCTGAACAATGGCCAAGCAAAATGAATCTGCAGCAAATGACATGTTGATCTTTGGTTTGGTTATTTTCTGCAACTGATGGATATTTGGAATGGGTTATTTTGTGCTTCGGACACAAATAGAAGGAAAAGAAATTAATGGGATGCATAAATCAACACTTTAGGACAACCCATGCAGAATAAATGAAGCATGCAGCCTTCAACAGTAAGTCAAGCCCTTTAGCCAACTCTGTTAATAAGAGGATAAGAAATTTGCAGGGCTTATCTGCACTCCAACCTAGTACAGCTTACTAAGATGAAAAGCAACCTCTGTGGAGATGTAGTGTTGGGAGAGTTAAGGGCTATCACCAGTTTTTGGTCTTTTTCCTCCAGTTAGTATAGTAGTTTTTTTTTAGTTCTTTACAAATTCTGATGTTGACACATATCAGTAAATCACATTTTGATGTAAAAGGGGTGCAATAATATTGTCACAGTTTCTTGTTGTTACTTCATTTTATGAAAATACCTAAGATAATTATGTCCTGGTCACCTCCATGCTGCAAAGTACTTGGTATAGTGAAGAATATACCATCTAATTTACCAACCTTTAAAGAGCCGAATTACATACACTTCATTTACACCAGTGCTTTGTAACTTCAGTGACAGGTGGATCTCAACTCCAGAATGTTGGCTGGGGAATTCTGGGAATTGTCGTCCATACATCCTAAAGTTGTTGGGGCTGAGAAACACAGATCTACACTCAATGAAGTATCTATATTAGATGGTGCAATCATCCGATCCCACAAGGGGCACCATTTATTTAATAGAATTGGATTATGTTCTGATGAAGCTGCTTTGACTTCAAGAAGCACAGATCCTGGTTAAATAATTTGATGGGATTGGGTAAGAGTATAATGGTGGCATAAGCATTTCCACTAACCATTCAGAATGACTTGACAAGACTCATCTACAAAAGCAGGAGGAGTGTCTGTAGGGGCAGTCAAAACAGACAAGATGGCTGCCACAACCATGAAATTGGCCCATTTTAATGTACATGACATACACTTAAAAGGATAGACTTTAATCACATGGTTTTGGCCATCTTAATTTTTTTGTCTCCCCCACCCCCCCAATACAATTATAGGCAACTATTAAGAACTTAAAATAAGTGTTACGCTTGAATAATTCCAAAATATTTTTGAGAAACCTTCTTCTATGCATCTGATGGAACATCTTTTAACAAAGCTTTTAACACAGCTAAATCTGGAACTGTGGCCTTTGGCTGAGAAAACACCCAAATGATAAAATCAAATCAAACAGGCAGCCCTTATTGCCAATCCAATTTCCAAGGCCTAACAAGCAAATTCTGTAGGGAACATAGAAGTCACACATTCCAATTTCAATCTCTTTTGGCCTAATCTTTGGAGCTCTTTTGTTAGCTTCTCTTCCTGCTGATCTCTTGACAAACTCTGTAATCAGTAGAAGGAAGTGATGGTTTTTCTTCAGAGAGAGATTTGGAGTCCTCCCAGATCAGGCTTTTACTGTGTAATCAGTGTGCCTTACTTAATTTTTCCACTAATAGTCTATGGGGTGGTTTTTTTTGGGTAATTAAATAGATAGAAACACTGCACAATGTTTTTCATTTGACAGCAGTTGGGTTCTCTTCTTATGAATAGCCACATCCATTGGATTTCTGCCTGCTATGGAACTGAAAAAAGGTATTGGAAATCTGCTGTGTAGTGTATGCATGAATAGCAGGCTATATTGTGTACACAGTATCAACAGTAGAGACCTATATTATTCCACTGTGTCTATAAGCATCAGCAATAAGAGCCGTGATGGCACAGTGGTTGGAATACAGTATTGCAGGCTAACTGCATTCCCACTGCCAGGAGTTTGATTCTGACCAGCTCAAGGTTGACTCAGCCTTCCATCCTTCCGAGGTCGGAAAAAGGAGGACCCAGATTGTTGGTAAAATGCTGACTCTGTAAACTGTTTAGAGAGGGCTGTAAAGCACTTTGAAGTGGTATAAAAGTCTAAATGCTCTTGCTATATATGCAATGACCACAGCATGATTGGAAAATGCATCGATTGTGTGAGTTGATTCCACTGTTCCGAAGTAGGCTTGGTTTGATCTTTCACTCATTCTCCATTAGATGTTGCATTCAACAATCCTTGAAACCTGAGCTTGTAAGTTTGACTCACTTTTCATGAGGAAGAAAAAAACCTGTTCAGAGCAAAGTATTATCCGTACGCACCTCAAATCTTATCAGTCACTCAGGTCAGATAATTTCCACACTATCAAATTTATACTGGCAGCTGACCATTTTTTTAGGCTGATGATCAGCAATGCATCAAACTTTCATAGTCCAGTAAAAGCTGTGTGATGGGTGCATCTTCATAGTATCACATAAGCACTTTGCTGACTGTTTTGGAGGGCCCCATCCCACTGCAAAGCCAACAAAAAAATGTTTTTAGTTGTTATGTTGTTCAAGTGGTGTTTTCCTTCTTTTGACATAATTCCTACTATATAATCTATAAGACCTCATTGGTGTTGTCCCTTTGGCCATTTCAGAGTGCTGTGGGATCATCCTTTCCATTCCCGATCTCCAGGCATGCATCCATTTTGACAGATACCCACCCATGAATATAGTGGGCCTGTCAACCAGGATATTTCATTTTTTCCTAAAAGTCTGTAGAGATTCTCAGTCATCCAGGTCATGGTTGTCCCAAAAGGTGCTTTTTCAGGAGGCAGCTGGACTTTCTTGTTTTTTCTTTGAAGACGTTTCACTTCTCACCCAAGAAGCTTCTTCAGCTCTGACAGGATATTGGGGAATGGAAGGATTTGTATTCCTTGCCAACAGCTGGTCATTTGCATCCTTTTAGAGGGTCCTTGAAGGTCTATCTGTGGTTGACTTGGAGATCTGTGTCCACAGGATCACCTGAGTAGTGCTCCTGGTTCCAGTAGTCTGCACTTTCCCTCCCCTCTGGAAATCCATTCCTATTCCCACACCATTCCAAGGGTGTTCATCCCAAATGGTATAGCTAAAATTGTATAGCTTCATTTTCCCTACATTTTAAAATTTAGGACTCTCAATCTCCTATCGCAATCCTTCCCCCATCCCAATTTTATTTGGTAAGTGGAGCATGAGAAGAGGAGCTGGCTGAAACAGAACCGGGTAAGGCAGGAAATCTGCAATATAACTAACTCCATCTGGACGGTGTATTTCTCACGAATGAATTTTTCTCCCACTGCCGTTTTTTTAAAAAACGTGGGTCTAGCTATCTCCTGAAACATCAAAGTGGGAGTCTTTAATTAATATTTTAACGTTGGTCTGTTGATCTCCTAAAAACAATCAAGCTTTTTTTTTAAAAAAAAGTCTACCAGACTGCTCTTTTTTTCCAAATAGGTCTATCAATCCGTTCGACTTCTTTCGTTATAAACTTTCTTTAAAAAGGAAAAAAAAAACACGAAAGAAAAGCCGATCATCTCTGCACTGCAGTAGCAGCTCCAGGAATAAGGGAAGATCCGGAAGAAGGGACTGGAAATCCCCAATAGGAAATCGCTATTTAAAGAAACGTATCCAAGGGACCACATCGGAGGGGAGCAGCATGATGGCTGGGTGAAAGCGACCAAGGATGGGCAAATCCAGCCCTGCCTAACGTGAAGAACCACGGGGGTCCTCCCCCCCCCACCCGCAGGTGCGGCTGGGCTGGAAGAGAAACGAAGCCCAGGGTTGAATCTAAGCGCCGGCTTGAACTCCCGCATTCAAACTGCGAGACCGCCCCGCTCCTCCGCTGCCTGTGACACCACCCGAAAGCCCAGCTGCGCGGGGCGCGCTTCTTTCTTAACCACCGATTCGAGGACGGTAAAGAAAAACCGGTTGTAAAGCACAGGGAGCACCCAGGGCTCCCGTGGGAGGCTGCAGAAACCCGCTCGGCTTAGCGGAGAGCAGCGAGGAACAGGCGGCTTTTCCAGGTCTCTTTGCATTTGCAAGCAAACCTTCCAAGCGGTGCGCCAGACTTTTCGAAGCGCACCCTCGATGCGCTCAGGATCAGAGAGGGAGCCCCGATTCGGGGTCCGTCTGGAGGGGAGATAAGCCTCGGATTAGCCTCTATCCGGGAGCGGGTTTTTTCCCCCCACCGCCTGCGCCCGACGGGCTCCCCGCTCGAGCGCTCTCCTGCCGCACTCCGCAAAGTTCCCGATTGCCGGCACGGCTTGGGGATTCCGGCCATCGGCGTGGCATCGAAGGCGAGCGAGCGCCGCGAGGTCCGGGGCTAAAGGCGAGGTCCTTGGCCCTCTCGGGCCCAAGACGCTTGAGCTGCCGCCGAGCACGCCCTGCCCCCTGTGGAGGCGGATCTCCTCGCCCGGCGCCCCGCTCTGCGCCCGCGCTGCCGCCGCCCGCCCGCCGGAGGGAGCCCCGCAGACTTTATGCCAGAGCCCTCGGCGGCGGGGAAGTGGCGCTTGGCCTCTGCGCGCGGCTCCATCCAGGTGAAGCGGGCGGAGAGAGGCGCAGCTTCGGCGGGCGGAGCGAGCGGCTGGCTGCCTGGGCGGGCAGCAGCAGCCCGGGGACGCCGCGTGAGAGCGCTGGGAACCGCCGCCGCCGCGTGGAGAGGCGGGCATGCGGGCTGGCGGCAGTGGGCTTCGTGGGTAGCCCTCCTCAATATGGTCTTCGTCTGCCACGGCGCCAGCAGCTGTCCCGTCTTGGCTAGCAGGAGCCTGGACTCCTTGGCGCCGGAGCCTCCCCGGCCGTTGGGTGACACTGGCGGGGCGAGGATGATTTCTGGCTCGCTGAATCCGCCCCGTTTAGGGATAGGCGGGAAACTTCTGCAAGGGGTCACCGCCGGCCCTGGAGGGGGAGGCCAAGGCGTAGGCAGCGGCGTCGTCGGAGGAGGCGACGTCGTCGTCGTCGGGAGCAGCACCGGCGGTCCCAGCGCGCTCAGCCCGGGCTACGGCGACGCCGGCAACGACACGCAGTGCGGCGAGCAGATCCTGAGCTACGGCAACGTGGAGAAAGTGGTCATCGGCGCCGCTCTGACCCTCATCACGCTGCTGACCATCGCGGGCAACTGCCTGGTGGTCATCTCGGTCTGCTTCGTCAAGAAGCTCCGCCAGCCCTCCAACTATCTCATCGTCTCGCTGGCCTTGGCCGACCTGTCGGTGGCCGTGGCCGTCATGCCCTTTGTCAGCGTGACCGACCTCATCGGCGGCGAGTGGATCTTCGGCAGCGGCTTCTGCAACGTCTTCATCGCCATGGACGTGATGTGCTGCACCGCCTCCATCATGACCCTCTGCGTGATCAGCATCGACAGGTGAGGAGGCCGCGCAAAGAAA